CCCAGCGTTTGGGAGGCAGAAACAGGCAGATCTCTGTAAGTTCAAGGCCAGCCTGGTCTACACAGTGAGTTCCAGGACAGCCAGAGCAACATAGTAAGACACTATCTCAAACAAAAAAGATAGAAATTTGTGAGAATTTTACTGAGTCTAATATTTTGCCTTTTAATAATTTTACCTTTTACTGAGCCTAATATCACAACAGGAAAGAGCACAGGTGTGTCATGTAGCTGCCTGACCATGCAAACGTGAACAGTCCATTTATATAGCAGAAGAAGAGGTATGGCATCCAATCCAGAGCATTCCCCAATTTGTGCAAAACAGTAAACAAAGTATGATATTTATAGTTATTACCATCTTTCCTGGTGATCTTTTCAGCACATCCGTGGAATGTATAGGAAAACTTTCATGACAAATTTGTTCTTTTTTTACTATGAATTTTTCTAGTCATAATGATTTTTTTTTTTTTTTACATTGCTCAAGTTCTATACCTTTTTTTGCTTCACTTGCTTTTCTTAGCATCTTTAGCTGTCAGGCAAAGTGCATTTTACTAAACATCAATTCTTAATCTGTGGTATTGTTTATATTAACAAATTTAATTAAAAGAAATATGACAAAAGTGGAACATAATATGAGTCCTGCAGACATAACCTGACTGTGAGGTTTTTCTGTCATTTCTTGGGGCCAAAAATGTTCTTTGACAATGTTTGCTGCGTTGTTCTCCTGAAGATGAGTTTTTATACACTTTATGAATAAACTTCAACTTCATAACTTAGGTTTTGATTTCTTTTAGAAATGTATTAAGATATAAATATATTTATATTTAATTATAAAATTAAACATATGTATGTAAATATACATATTTTTATATTTTTATATATGGATGTTTTGTCTGCCTGAATGTGTGTATACCACATTACCTGCAGGGGTCAGAAGAAGGCACTGAATCCCCAGGAACTGGAGTCAGAGATGGTTATGAGCTGCCATGTGAGTGCTTGGAATTCAACCAGAGACCTCTGGAAGAGTAGCCAGAGCTCTTAATTGCTGAGCTGCCTTTCCAGCCCCCTTTAATTTAATTTTAACTGTTTCAGAAACTCTTTCCTTGGGGAGACATAAACAAATGTTTACCTCTCCTTTACAGGACACCAATGACAAACCTAAGTATGATTCTACCAAAGCCCAACTTGACAAACCAATGAGCTTAATGAGATTTTTACAGAGCATGGGAAATCCCAAAACTGCTTCTCATAATACTAATAAATGTCACCCAGTATTAGTGACCCCCCCATTGTTGCATAGATAACCTTCCACACACTATATACCCCAGCATCTCTGAAAACATGAGGCCATGTGCAATTATAGGCAGAAACAGAACAAAGGACAACAGGAGGTAGAGGAGGAACTGGCTGGAATCTTATGGTCCCATGACCCTCCTCAGCCCTTCCTCCTTTGAGGGAATGCACAGCTGCTCTGATGAAGATGGTGGCTCTTAAGCACAGAAGATACTCTCCAGTTAGCTTATGGTACTTTAGACATCTCTGTAGCACTGTAATTTTAAAGAGAGATAAGGCAATGCTGAATTGAAAAAAGGAAAAGGGAAAAAAAGATAATGCTGATATCATCATTTGGACATTTGCCCAATGATGCGCTGGTGATGTTTAAAGATGGATTTAAAAATCTGTATATACATATAAAACTGCTGTGTTAACTTTCCCTGGGGAGAAAAGGCACCAAAGACAGACAAAAGTAACAGTTCCACTCAAGTCTAGTGTGGGGAACCAATGAGTTTTTCGGACTCAGAGGAGCATGGGTGAAGGCTGAGCTACAGATATGCTATGTGGGTGACCCCAAAAAGCCCTATCTCCAGTTGCTTTCATTTGGGCACTGAGGGAACCCCCTTTTCTGTTTAGCGTGTGGAAACACTCTATACTGTGGAATCACCAAGACCATGTGTAGTGGGGCCAGAATCACATGCAACTGAAATGAGGTACACAAGGAAATGGCTGGAATCTCAGCTGAGAGTCAATCACACGCCCCATCTCCTTTCTCTGCAAGGGAGTCCCTTGCAGGTGGTAATAGCTGTCCTGTCCAGAGAACAGCATCTTACAACAAACTTTTATTTTCAGAAAGGTATTAGGCTCTGAGTACATTTTATATGGTCTTTGCTGCCAAGTGTCAGGATATAACATAGGTTTGTAGATTTAAGATGCTACATGAATGACTTTCTTATTTTAAAGACGTTTGTTGGGGCTGGAGAGATGGTTTATCAGTTAAGAGCGCATGCTGCACTTCCAGATGATCAGTTTCCAGTACAGGTCAGAAGGCTCACAGCCTCCTGGAACTCCAGTTTCAGGGTACCTTCTTCTGACCTCCTCTGGCACCTTCATATCTGCAGTATATACACAAACAAACACGTATACATAAAGACAAAATTAATCATAAAAAGAAGCTTATCTGAATATTACTAATAAATAACAAGAATTCAACTTGAAGGTAAAAGTGGGAAGAATAACCTTTTAAAAAGAAATTTACATTTTTGTCAAAGTTGCTTATATATGATGAATGTATGTCTATGGCAGGAGTTAGAAACATATTATTGGATATAAATCAAGTCTTACAGAGCATTTTAAATAGTAGAATCAGAAGTACATTACTCTTCACCTTCAAGAACACAAAGGGAAGGATATAGCACCAGCTTACATTTGGTTGACTTGTACACAATAGACATATTTTTGAAGATTTACATTTTGCCAACATAAGAACAGCTCTCAAAGAGAATAAGAGTTTATTCTGGAACCAGATTTGAGTGACCATGGCTGAAGTAACACAGATCCACATTACCCCAAATATCATTTTATAACATGTTGGGAATGTTATGAAATTTTTATAGTAACAGAACAAAGAACATTAAAAATCAAGCCACTTTGCAGTTACATCAGTGTAAATATCAGGAAGGCAGGTTAACAGCAAGCAGACCAGCCTTTGCTTTGGTCTCAGATGCTCTCGATGATACTTTTAGCCTTTGAGTTTGTGGAAGCTACGGTTCTGGTTTTCTTTTTCTTTTTCTTTTTTTTTTTATGTTTGCTTGTTTGTTTGAGACAGGGCTTCTCTGCGTAGCCCTGGCTGTCCTGGACTCACTTAGTAGACCAGGCTGGCCTGGAACTCAAGGAGATCCACCTGCCTCTGCCTCCTGAGTGCTAGGATTACAGACATGCACCATCACGCCCTGCTTGAAGCTAGAGTTCTTGTTTGCACATTCTAAAAGGATGAATACATAGTCATAAGGATGTTAGGTCATACAGAAAAATGGGCAATAAGTTGATGACCATTTAGGGGACTAATGTAGCTCAAGCTAATTTGGCTCCCACTTTGTAATCAGTCTAGATATCTGACCAGATTCTTACTGAGAATTTCATTTCTGCCAAAAGTCAGTTAACGAAATGCTGTCTTCTTTTAAAGGTGTGTTTTTGTGAAAGATCTCAAATTACTAAAAGTATTGCTTAAGGAGAAAATGAACACAAACCAAAATCAAACAAAATTGATTGATTCAGACTTAAGGGTAGCCTGTTTAAAAATCTTTTAAAACATTTTCTCTCATGACCCCTTTTTGGCAGAAAAGTTTTGTGGTTATATAGGTACATAAGGTAGGTGTATAAATCAAAGATTTGCTGATGATATTTTGCTTGTTTATCTTCTTACAGTCTCACTATGTGGATCAGCATGCCCTAAAACTTACAGAGTAGCCTGCTTCTGCCTCTTGAGTGATAGAATTAAAGCTGTGCTCCAACACACCAGATAGATTAGTTTTTAAAAGCAATTCTTTTGTACTCGTGCATCTTTGCTACTTATTAACTACTAAAGCAGAGATGGATATATTTTTCCCCAATACAGCTTAATCCAATGATACACTAATTTGATACATGCTAAGGAATAACAGGACATTATGAAAAAAGTCTTGCTTCCTGTAATTAAATTGCTCTTTATATAAGAGTAGAAATTTTTGTACAAATTGTAAAACCACCATAATTCATAACACGAAGTAGACAAAATCTGAGCTCAGGCAGTTCACCAGCGGCTACTGGCATGAGCAAAGCAAAGTGCAGTTGTAGAGAGTTGAGAACCAAAGCTGAAGAGAAGAAATGCCAGAGACAGCCTGTATCCTTTAGATGGATTACATTCGGTTTTTTGATTAAATTTTGGGTAGCTACTGGCCCTCAGGGTTGCCATGCACAATTTTAAAAGCGTTGGTTTAATTGAAGAGCCTTCTGCACAAGGCAGCCAGAGAAACAAAGGAGAGAACACAACAGATATCAGTTAGAAAGTCAAACTGCTCATCCCCAAACATCTTTTGTTTCTTTACGGAAAACAAACACCAGGACACTTTCCAATAAAAATTTAAGCGATAAGGCATTTCTCCGGCTCTGACAAATGTCTTTCAAATAAAAAAAGATATTCATGTAGCACCCTAAAACAAAGGACAGCCTTATGTACAAATCTGTAAGAGTTACATCCTGACGTTTGGCAACACAGACCATATAAAATGTACTCAGACTTAATACTAATAATGAAAATAGATTTTTTTAATCATAATAGATTTTAACAGTTCATTACACGAGCCCAGTGCCCCATGGTTTCTAAATGTTAATTAAAGTGGCATGGTAATGGAGACATCCAGTCTTTCCCTCACCGACGAATTAGTTCGGGTCGGGTATATCTTCAAACCTAGAAATGTCTTCCAATCCCTCAGAGCTCAGAGCTTCTCTGGTCCTAGGCTTGCTGAACACAGGGGTCCACCTGGTCGGCTTTGGCAATGCCAGTCCTCCACCAGACGGGGCGCTGTAGAATCTGCCATGCGTGCGACCCGGCCAGTGCGCGCTCTCGATGGACGACGCTCTGCCCGCAGTCCAGCTCCTCTCTGTGGCTGGGTTTGCGGAAGTGTTTCTAGGCGACGGCACTCGCAGACGACGCCTGCGCAGTGGTCGCCGCTGGCGGGCTGGCTGACGCTGGCGGGTTGAGGGAGTTCCTGCGGGTGGCTGTCACCGCCCCGTTTCTCTCCCGATGGTGCTCTCCTGAGGCCAGCTGCCTGCGGGCGTCGCCCCGGGATGGAGCACATCCGGACGACCAAGGTAGTCGATGAGAGATCCTCGAGGCCGCCGGGGTCCATCCTGCCGAGGCGGGCGGGCAATTTGGGGGTGCGGGGCCTCCGCTGCCGGCCGGCAGTTTTGGGGGTGCAGAGGCCGTGCGGACGGCGCAGGCGCCTTGGCAGGATGTACTTGGGGAGTCGGCAGTGGCGGCTTAGCGAGCTCCGCGCTCTTGGACAAGATTGGGGCTACTTTTTACTTAGGGGGCTTTCGGCCACTCGCCACCTGGCTCGCCCGGATCCGGGTGGGGTCCGCACCATCAGTTCTGTGCGGTGTGAACTAGTCTTGGTCTGGTTTAAGTGCCCCGCCCGCAGAGTCGCGGTGCTAATGTTAGAGCATCCCAGGCCACTCGCTTTTCTAGTCCTCCAACCACTTAGAGCTGGAACTTCTGTGATTTCAACGTTAGTGTTGGGAGCCAGCTTGACAGCAGTTATGCAGAAGGGGAAAGGCTGTGTCATATTGTAGGAGGTCCATGGAACTTCCCTATAACTGAGCTTGCTTGTCCAGTCCGTGCTTAATTTTTTTCTGTGTGAAAGGAATTCAGAGAATGAACTCTCACACACACGTGTAATTATATACATATCATATATATAAATATAAATCTCATATATAAAGTTTAAAAGCTGAAATGACACTGGACGATTACCAACAATGTGTTAGACCGACTTCAGCTTCAGAAGGGACCAAAACAGGCACAGAGATACAAAGTCTTGAATACCATTTTAAGACAGGAAAACCAACTCCCCTGGCTTTACCAAAGCTGTAACAGTCACTTACTGCCTGCCTTAAAGGTCTTTGGGAACAAGCTGAATTTTCTTCATTGTTCTTTAAAATGTTTCACAGCTCTTTATGTTATGGATAACATGGATTTTTGTTAGGATTTATTTTGGAGTTTGCCTATTAGTATAGTAAGATTGGAGATGCTGAAAAATCTAACTCCTTTTCCAAGATTTTTTGTTTGTTTGTTTGTTTGTTTTTGAAACAGGGTTCTTTTTGTTGCCCTGGCTGTCCTGGAATTAGCTGTGGTAGAGCAGCTGTCCTTGAACTCACAGAGATCCAACTGCCTCTACATCCTGAGTGCTGGGATTAAAAATGTGCATCACCACTGCCCAGCAGATTTTTTTCTTTAAAGAGAAGAAAAATAAAGTAATTGGAGAGTTGAAGTTGCTGACATTTAAACTTTGAAAATGGGAGGGTGGTTAGATACCCAGAGAAGCGCTAAGGCAGGAGAGAGAACAAGGGTGGACATGGGAGCCAGTTCGTTCAGGTCACAGGGCCCTGACAGCTGTTGGCACAGAGACTGCCTTCTACTCTGAACCTCATTCAGCTCTCATTTGCTTGTTGTTCAATTTATAATTAATTGATAAATATCTTTGGATTTTTTTTTTGGTGGGAGAGGGATGGTATAGCTGTAGCTTTTATGACCTTGAAGATTGTTCTTGATTAAGCCTTACATTTCATGATGGGCCCATGCTAGAAATAGGTAAGGCAGCTTTTCACTAGTTTTAAAGTAAGGTTTCTTTATGTCTTTCTAAAGGTTTTACTGAAGTTGCTTCTTAAGGGAGCTCCACTGTTACTCTGTGTTTTTGAGGCACTGAGTCATTTCTCTGGAATAATCTGAAGTGGGACTTTGTAGACTATAGTGAAACAGAGTTTTGCTAGGTACTAGCATGTACACACCCAACTGACACTGAGCAAACCACAGCAAGATAAACACGGAACTCACAATGTTTTCTGATAATTGTTATATAGACTGTACCATTTCCTTAAACTATGGTTTGGAAAAAGCACAGTCTTACAAGATTGCTTTGAACATAGCAAAGTCTTTGTTTTATTATGTGTAGTCTTCTTCTAGACATACTTAATTTGCAGCAAAAAAATATTGTATTTTACGTTGCTGTTTTAAACTCTGGGAAGTTTAGTTACTCTGATCAAAAGTGTGTGTAGGGCTGTCAAGATAGCTCATTGTGGCTAATGGTACCAGATGCCAAACCTGACAACTTGAATTGGTTCTCCATAACCCACCTGGTGGAAGGAAGGAACCACCTTCTGAAAGTGGCCCTTTGACCTCCACACAGGACCACCAACCCTCAAGTATAAGTAATAAACATTTTTAAATTGACTATAATGCAGTATGACTGTTCAGTGATTTTTTTTAAAATATTGTTTAACAGCTGTTTCTGAAAAGGAATAATTACTTATCTTCTGTTAGGCAGTTACGTCAGGGAACACAGTTATATAATGTCATAATTTCACATTTTACATATATGATAATTCATTAGATGTGGTGGTTACTTTTAATTATCAACTTGCCATGATATGGAATCAGTTGAGAAGGGAGCCCCAGTGAGGGACTGCCTGGATCACGTTGGCCTGGGAGCACACTTGTGAGGGATTTTTTTTCTTAGCTGGTTGGAGAGGGAAGGTCCATCCTGATGTGGGCAGTACCACTGTGTGGTCAGGCCCCGAGTGTACGAAAGCAGAGAAAGCAAGGGGACAGCATGCATACTGGCTTTCTCAAGCCCTTGCTACTGTGACTTCCCACAGTGCTGGGTTGTGACCTGAGATTTAAGTCAAATAAATCTTCGCTTTATGACACGGTTATCACAGCAACCAAAATAGAACTAGGACAGTCACTGATTTTAAAATGAGCCCTGCCAGTGGCTTTAGAATTTCCACTTATAGACAAGGAAGAAATTGTTGAGTTCAAATGACCTGTCAGGTCAGCCACATGTGGCAGTTAGAATTTAAACTAATGTCGAACTCCAAAGGTTAGGCATGCTTTCCCAGCCTCAGTAGTTGTAATGAAATTTGTTAAATTTAGAAAATACTAATTAAAAGGGCTTTCCTTCTCTAAATTTCTCATAAGTAAGAGTTTTATCTTTTTGTTTTTGTATTGTTTAGAGTTGCCATTTGCTTTGTGGTCTGCTATTAGAGGTCAGTATTTCAGCTGAGTACTAATTAACTTTCTAGCTCTAAAATTCAGTGTTAGGCATGTCACGGTATTTCCGTCACGTTTGCCTGAAACAGGCTCTCTCACTGAACCAGATAGTCAACCTTTCAGACAGGCTGCTGAGCTCTGTAGATGTCCTGACTTTGCTCCCCCAGTGCTGGGACACAGGCACATGTGACTGTGGCTGGCTTTTTACGTGGGTGCTGGGGATTCAAACCCAGGTGCTTGTGTTTGCAGAACAAGTGCTCTGAGCTTTTCCCACTGAGCTTTCTCCCCAGCCTGGAGACCTTTAGATTTTTTGTTTTTAAAGTTTTATTAGTTTTACTCATTTCATGTGTGGGTGTTTAGCCTGCTAGATGTTTGTGAGCCTTGTATGTGCTTGGTGCCCGAGGAGGTTAGGTGAGGGTCAGATTCCCTGTGGCTGGAGTTACTGATGGTTGTGAGGTGTCACTTGGCAACTGGGCACTGGTCCTCTATAAGAGCAACAGATGCAGGAGGTTGTGGTGGCACACCCCTTTAATCCTAGCATTAGGGAGGCAGACGCAGGCAAATCTGTGAGTTCGAGACCAGCCTGGTCTACAAAGCAAGTCCAGGACAGCTAAGGCTACACAGGGAAACCCTGTCTCGAAAAACAAAAAAGAGCAACAAATGCTATTAACCAGTGACCCATCTCCCTAGCCCCCCAGTTTTAGGTTTAGAGATTGATTTTCATATATATGAGTGTTTTGCATGCATGGATGTATCTATGCCACATGCATGCCTGATGCCCACAGTGGTCAGAAGAAGGCATTTCACCCTATGGAACTGGAGTTATGGAGGAGTGTGGGCCACCATGTGAATGCTAGGAATCAAACCTAGGTCCCCCATAGGGGCCACAAGTGCTCTTAGCCTCCAAGCCAATTCTTCAGCCTTTAAGATCTTAGATTTTGAGGTGTACTTGAACACTTAACCCAAGTACAATACCATTTTGGCCTTCATTAGTACTATCCCATGTTACGGGTGAGAAACCTGCAGTTTGTTAAGATTAAATCACTTGTCCTGTGTCTGTTCGCTTACTGGGATTTCATTATTGGCTCACTGATTGCTGGTGGGAGCTGGGTTCTGGTTTTTCTGATACAAAGCCTCTCTCTTCACTACCTTACTCCCCTGCCTAATAGAATAGTTATCAAGTAAAGAGATTGGAGTATAGAGGTGGAGCCATGTGAGGAGGAGTGGAGACAAGAGCTGGCTGAGAGAAACTAGATGGTAAGCGTTTTGTGTAGTAACCAGCTAATCATGAGGTTGTTGAGCTAGGAGAAAGGTCTGGGAAGGGAAGAAAGTGTGGATGTCTAGGTAATCATTCATAGTCTTCTCCTGGGTGAGCTTATGTAAGAGAGTACTTTGTGACTCTGCAGAGAAGAGAAGGGATACTAGGGCTCAGGGACCTGCAGAAAGGTGCATGCAAGTCAAGGTGCTGAGGGGGGAGAAGAAAGAATAAAACGGAAGCTGTGAGTCAGAGGGGCAGAGAGGATTCTTCTTGCTCTGATTTCTTTCTCTGTGCTCATTATGCCCCTCTCTGCCTTCTACTTGGGCCAGGCACTGTTGTACATACTAGGAAACTAGGCAGATGGCAGTAAACTGGACAGACAAAAACTGAGTTGAGAAAATGTATTTGGTAGTTGAGGGAAACACAATAAATAGAGTTGATGGTTGGATCTACACTGTGTTAGATGGTGGTAAATGCTGAGAGAGCAAATAAAGTAAACAGGAACCCTGGAGAATACCAGGGTGCCATTGGAGAGACACTACAAAGCAGTGAGATAAATGTGGAACTGTTGAGAGGAAGGGGGTTCCCAACAAGAAGGAACATCCTCCTTTTCAGGCCTGATAGCTAAGAACTAGTGAGAACGCTGGAGCAGGGTGTGTGAAGGAGATACCTAGAGAATATTAAAATTGGGGGACAGGCAAGTTACTTCAGAGTTCTGAAGGCCACTATAAACTCTTTTTAAAGTGTGTGAGAGAGAGAGAGAGAGAGAGACATGAGCACTTCAAT